CAAAGAAATTGATTTAAAAATATTTATGAAATGAATTCAATTGAGTTAACAAATGACGAAATGGGAGACAAAGACGACAAGAAATATTTGGAAGAAATTTTCGCCAATTATATGGACACCGACACCTCCCCGGCCTCCAGTGCCTCTAATGCGGTGCCAACAGCTCCGGTATCCTCGAGTATAAGCATCCAAACGAGTGTCATATGCAACGCAAATGATATAAAAGTGGAAAATGATATCAAACCAGATATTACGGGCATAAGTAGTACTCCATCGGTGACCACAAGGGCTACCGATGCCCTAGAAGATGACGACGCCATCCTAATGCATGGCATACCGAAAGCCACTAGTGATCTGGTGTTGTCCAATGTGGTGGCGACTGTGAATCTGGGCCGTAGACTACCCCTGCAGGAGATCAGCCGCCAGTGCCTGAACGCGGAGTACAACGCGCGACGACTGAACATACTATTCATACGCATCCGTAACCCCAAGACCACGGCACTGGTGTTTAAATCGGGAAAAATGGTGACCACCGGCGCCAACACCGAGAGAAATGCGCACAAATCTGCCCGACGTTTCGCCCGTATTATACAGCGCTTTGTGCCGGACGTCCGCTTTTTTAACTTCCAGATCCACAATATGGTCGCATCGGGCGCCGTCCTCTTTTCTCTCAGGCTTGAGATATTGTGCATTCATATGGGCTACCGGGCCCACTATGAGCCCGAGCTCTTCCCGGCGCTCGTCTACAGAATGTCTGAGCCCATGGTGACGGTGCTGTTGTTCAGCACCGGTAAGGTTGTCATCACAGGGGCTAAGGGTCGACAGGAGTTGATGAAAGCGTTTGAGTTAATGTTACCGATGCTCCAGAAAGTGCACCGGGAGGTTACGGAATAGGTTGACCACAATTTGTTTATTACTTATAAAAGTGTTTTTGGTTTTTTGGTACTGTATTTGGGATTATTTTTGTCGTACTCATTCAATAATCCCTGGTGTTTGAAATTTTTTGACAAATAGAGATTATTTTTGGAAATAATTGTATAATTTAATTAAAAAAAATACTTAGATTATTTAAAAATTTTAATTATTCTATTAGGCTTATACTTATTATAAATTTCAGATAATATATTTATTTGTTAATTGTTTTTTGTATTAATTTATATATTTTGTATAATTATATTTATATTTTCATAAGAATTTTGTTCATTTTGTGAGCCTATAGTGTAATGTAATTTATATTGACTTTTCCTAAACTTTTTACAAATTATATTTGACATAAAAATTAATTTAAAAGAAATAAATGACCGACAAAATATAAACTTTTGTCTTACAATTTGATTACAATTTTCAAAAACCGAGTTATTATTAGTATTATCATTGACTACAATGGTAAATACTGCATTCAATTGTATTGTGCGTTATATTTGACAATTCATGTCACATACAGTGTACACGCATTCATATAGTGTACAGATTCTTATTATAACAGTCATATACTGTATG